ATCTCTGGGCCCCGAGACAGCTCCTCCAACGTGAACAGCATTTTTTTGCTCAAGAATGAGCAGAGAAACGAGGACCAGAACTCCTGAGGTGTCTCTGGGAGCAAAGCCCGGGGAAGGCTCCTGCCCACAGACAGGTCCTGGCACCTGCCTGCCGATGCCAGAAGGCGCTCTGCAGCCAAAGCAGCTCCCTGGTACCAGCAGCCGTGGGGTGGCAGAGCACAGCAGGTCCCACTTACGCATCCAAAATGTGGAAAACTTTGAGGAATGTGGCAATACTTTTCTGCTTCCCAGCACGGTACCTGGGATTGAAGCCCCTTCTCCATCTTCAGGCTTGGAAAAAGGAGGAAGATGGAGCACGCCCTGGGGCGCACGGGGCCAGACCCACCATGGCACCGAGGACCTGCAGAGCCCAGGAGCCAAGGCTGGGTGCAGACACAACGGAGGGCAGCAGGGTGCCCAGGGCAGCCTCACCTGCAGCAGCAGACCTGCAGGGAAGCAAAGCCTGCCCTTTGCTGCTATTATTTTCTTTTCATTCCTCAGGAGGAGTTTATTCAGAGCTCCTCTGAGCAGCAGGACCCAGGTTTGTTCTTTTTTTCTTAACTGGAGGAGAAAAGGCAAACAGAACTTCCACTGGAAGCGTCCAGACCAGGCTCCACCGCCCCCATCACGCAGAGGGAAGATAAACGAACAAAACCCGCAGAGCCTCTAAGCCGTTCCCTCCCAGCCGGGCGTGGGCAGATTTGGCAGTTACTGCAAATACAGGCTGAAGGATGGCACAGCCGCGAGGGGAGGAAGACCCCCCCCCCGCCGCTCCCGTGGGAGCGCCAGAACAGAGCCGATTTCAGAGGAGGACGAGAGAGCTTCACCTCTCCCTCTGCCCGAGACCTGTCCCGGTGGGCTGCAGGGTCAGAGCCGAAGCAGCCTGGAGGTACCAGCCCTGGCAGCGCCGCTGCCCCCTGTCCTCAGCACGGAGGCTCAGGGACGCTCTGCCCCGGCGGCTCCTTCCCACTGCTGCCGTGTCGGGATCTCCCACCCGCTCCGAGCCGTGCCCTGCCAAGCCTGCAGCCGCACCAAGGGCAGAGGAAGGGCATCAGCGGCATCCTGAGCCGCACACCCCGCGCGCGGGCATGGCCTGCGGGCCCCAACCACCGCAAGCCCCCGGCCGGAGCAAGCGCTGGCAGCCATCTGTGGCACGGGGCTCCAGTCGATGGCTCAGCCCCCCAGCCACGGCACGGGGCTAAAACGGGGAGACATGGGCGACGAGAACAGATTCCCCGGGAGCCCCAGGGCTGCTCAGCAGGTGCCAATGCAAGGAGCGGGCTGCGCTGACTGGCAGAGCCGGTGTGCAGGTAACACCAATTTGATTAGTGTTCATCAAATACGCTATTCGACCATGCTCCCTTATTAATGCTCTAGTCAGGAAGAGTATTTTTAGGTTGTCTAGGGAGATGTCAGGCTTAGTGCTGCTGCATATTTATTTATTTTTATTTTTTTTTTAAACTGCAGTGTTAATTAACACTTGCATCTTGGTCACCTCCGCAGTGAACGCACCCGAAGTTCCCCCTCCGCCCTCCGCCGCACTCCTCCATCTCACCTGCTTCCATAGCCAGGACAGTGATGTTGTGCCACCCTGCTGTCTCCCGGTCCAGGACCTTTCCTGTCACGATGGCACCTGTGTTGGCATCGATGTCAAAGATCCTCTCTGCATCTGTGCTGCGGTCAATGGCGTACCTGAGAGCAGGCAAGAGGGGAAACTGTGAACAAACGGACGTGCCAAGCCCAACCCCACCGTCGGCCCCGGCGGTACAGGGATCTAACACAACCGGTTCTCGCTTTTCCTCTGCTGTGGCATGGTACACAAATGCTGTGTTTCTACCAGGCTGCGAGCCCAGAGCCCTCGAGTAAAATTAAAGTGTGGCTTTCGGTGCATCAAGTGGAACTAAGCACAGACTGTGGGCAAGAGGGAAGACCTGCTCTGATGGGAACCTTATGCTCAGGACAGACCAAATGATACAGAAATCATGGGCTGAAACTCCACTCACGATTCTGGGAAGCTTCTGAGCTGTAGGTTCAGGAGAGACACCAACCCAAACCAACAGAGAGCACCCCTGCTCAAGGAGCCCACCTCACCTACCGCCCTCTCCTCTGCTCCTGCCACAGTGCCCACCCAAGTGAGAGACCTGGAGGCAGGGGCAGGCCCTGAGCTGGACCTGTAGGTAACCTCAACCGTGGCTCCAGCAGTCACCAACGGCAAGGACTCCTCCGAATCCAGACTGAACCTGTGCAACTGGAGCAGGAACCCTGGCAGCAGAGAGGTAGGCAACGGCCAGCATCCCCACAACCAACGCAGCACATCATCCCCAGCATCCCCGAGATTTGCCCTCGTTTGGGCTTCCCCGTTTCACAGGAGAGGCTGAACAGCTCCTCCTGCTCTGGCTGGCTCCGGCTGCTCAGCAGAGACCCTTTGCATGCCGCTCTTTCTCTTCTCCACCGGCTGCTCCAGTGCTGCCCCAAACAGCCCCCTCCCTGGACATCCCATCGGCAGCCCACCCGCGTCCCGTGCCACCTCTTCCTGAAGGGCAACGCCACAGCTCACAAGAGTCAGACGCCTGGGTTTGGCCCCGCGCCTTAGCCATGACACCACAAGCCCACACAATTGGCCCCGGGGGCATGTCCCGCATTCCCAACCGTTACACATGGAATAAAGCAAGCCAACATTAACTCGGGGCACAGTCAGATGTGTGCTCCTCGGAGGGACAGGAAGGGGAGCCCGATCCAGCTGCGGCCCTTGAGCACAGCCGTACGCAAATAACAACCACCACCACTGCAATCAGAATTGAAGTCCAGAAGGCCCACAAATCACAAACAATAAAGCATAATGTTATTGTGTACAGCATCCTTCATACACACCGCATCCCAGAGTGCTTTACAGAATTAAATAATACAAGACAGCAAAGAGTACAAAGGATAAATTACCAGGAGGAGGGCTGTGAATAAATTAGAGCCTTCAGTCACATGTCCAGCAACAGAAGGAAGATAAATGTAGGGACAAAGCCAGCTGGAAAGCTGATGAGACAGGACACTGCCGAGAGGCCACGTCTGACAGGGGCAGCAGAGCAGGACAGGCTCTAGGCTGGGAGCACGTTCCGGACAGCAGAGGTGCTCCGCACCCTCTGGGGCAGCTTTCCCAAGTGCTCGCATCTCGTCTGTGGGCCCATCGTCCGCACAGCACGCAGCCAAGGAATGCCAGCTCGCCTTCCGCACACAAGGACGCCTGCCCCGCACAGGGGCGTTGGTGGCCCCCATGCCTCTCCGCCCCACGCCCTGGGGGGTCCCAGCCGCAGAGGAGAGTGCCTCCCGAGGGGCAGCCATCCACCCCGCCGGGCAGCTCACTCCGAGGGAGGCACACACAAAGGCATTTATCCGCTGTTCAGTGTTATACTGTCCCAGGTTCTGTTCCCTAGCTCTCTCCCTTTCAGACAGATGGGGATGAGAGGGAAAATACAACAGCACTTGCTTGTAGTTAAGGAAATCTGTTCAAAAATCACTAAATTGCGTCTGCACCTATGGGGCTGGCTTCTTCCTCCCTCCTTGCATCGAGAGGCTATGGGGATCTGCCGCACAAAGCCAGCCAAGGCATCTCTGAACCAACTGCCAGGGGCTTCCTAGCCTTCCCGCATCTTCTGCCCCAGCTCCCAGCTGGAAACAGAGCCTCTACAGGCGTGCAGCCAGCTCCAGAAGGGACAGTGACATGTCATGGCATGCACTGCAGCCTCTCATCCACACTCACGGCAAAGGGAAAGGAGAGCTCTGGCCACTCCAACTTGTACACATCAGTCCAACGTGCTGCTGGGAGGAGGAACACAAACCGGGATGACAACACCTAATACCTTTCCAGCGGCACAACTGATGCACTTGCGTAACTGCTTCCACGGTTCTCCCGCGTCGCCTGACCTCAAACACCTCCTGCTCTTCCATTCCACTTCAGAATACTGTGGAGTTCAAGACAGTGCTTCACGCTCCGTATGCCTTCCCTGCTTCTTGGGCAAGCACATGCCTGCTTCACTCACACTCGTGTCGCTGTTGCATGAACAAAGATGTCTGCAAAAACCTAGCTACACAGAAGAACCTAGTTAGCGATGGGGACATCATGGAGCCTGCGAGCCTCTGGCACCAGTTGCCAGCATGCCCAGAGGGCAGGAGGCTGCTAGGGGAGCGCTCCGCCCCACGCCACCGGTGACCTCTTCCTATGCCTCTAATCGTTCTACTGCTAAGGCTGTCTTTGCCACTTCCGAACCGTCTGCTGAGGACTGACTGCCATACCCTATGGCAGGGCGCAAACCGAACCAGAAATGTGATCCCTGTGTCACCACCACTACAGAGAGCTGCCACCTCCTCAGCACCGCACCAGGAGGAGGAGACAGAGCTCCGAGCCTTGCCTGCATTTGCCAGGAAAGCAGGGCTTGGCCTGCTTCTGCACACCGTGATTTGGGAGACGGCTGGTCCAGGTGGGCCTGTAGCTCTCCATCTGCACAGAGCGCTGCGGAGGCTCCGGGGCACTTGGCACTGGAGCCGGGGACCGAGGGGGCACAGGGATGTCCGTCTACCCTCCAAAGCCAAGGCCATAGCCCGCTCGGCGCTGCGGATCGACCCGCTCCGCACTGCTCTACAGAATGAGCTCCCCTTCCAAGGGCTGGTGGCTAAGACCGTGCTAGAGCGGCTACAATGAGCGGCTACAACGAGCAGCTCTCCGCTGCTCTCCGTTTACATCTTCCTGTGCAATTAGATCTTCACCGACCAAAGGCAGGGCTGACTATCGCCAGCCTCTCCACCTCTGGTAGTGCAGCCTCCTACTCATCCATCCATCCCACTGCAGTCCGAGGGCGCTTCTCCCCTGGGAAGGGGCAGCAATTCGTCCCTGGGTCCCCCAGGTACTCAGAGGCAGGACATACGCTCACTCCTCCTAAAGCTGGCTGGAGCTCCCTATCTGGAGCCGCAGGCCCCAGCTCCGATTGGGATGCAGACCTTGTAATCCATTTTCCTCTCTTCCTGCTGGCCCTGCCTGTTGGTTCGGATGTTAGCTGTGACTGTTTGATTCAGACAGCTCGCTCGGTGCTCATCCTTCTCCTGAACGCATTCTCCAGCAGTTTGTCTCACTTCTCCCCTGAATGCAACCAGAGGCACATTCTCTGCCATGTGCTTTGTTAATAGGGAGCTTTTCAAACCCTGTGAAAAGCTTTTTGTTGTGTTTGTTTTTCCTCCTCTCCCTTTTGTGCTGAAGCAGGTTGTAGTTCTTGCTGTGCTGCTGAAGTCTATAAAATGCCCATGTCCAACACGTGTCTCCGGATTTGGTGAATGCCAAACAAGAATATCTCCAAGAACCTTAAATCCCAAGCAACATCTTCCCAGCGCTGATAAAGCCTGGAACGCACACAATCAGAGCACAGGCTCCCGCTGCAGAGAGAAAAACAAAAGGCTCCCATACATACAGCCTCACGCACCCCATCAGCCCGTCACCATGTTACCTCCTGCAACGGCTCAGCTGAGAAAAATCGCACTACGCCCAGGAAACGCACAGCTAAAGCCAAAAAGCTGACTGGGAACGAAATTCTTTCCGAAAAGGGTGGCGCTGGCTTTTGTTAGGCAACAAACAAGGCTGGAACCAAAGAGAAAGCGCTGGCCCTTCAGCAAGGCGTTCCTGCCTGTGCCACCGTGGGCTTT